TGTTCCCTCCCTCCGGACAGGGGCCCTCGCTGCCGGCGGCCTCAGGGGGTGTGGTCTGCTCGCCGTGGGCTGCGTGCACTTGACCTGCTGGCTTTGGCTGCAAAGGCCAGCTCATCCTCCTGCTGAGAAGGACGGGACCTCAGCGCGGAGGCGCTTCCCGAGGGTCTGCGGCTGACATGGCTGGCGAACGCTTCCTGAACGCGGGTTCCGGGGCCACCTCCTCCAACGGGAAGCAGCGCTCGCAGAAAGGGGCGATGGTTTGGCCGGGCGTCAGGGAGGTGAGGGCCAGGACCGAGAGGCCGTACCTCTCGTCAGTCACCGCCGCTTTGGCTCCGTGTGATGCCCTCCGTCTCAGCATTTACTCACAGAAGAGCCCATAAGTGACAGTGCCTCAGGATGGGTCGCCGTGCGCTCGGCCGTTCCGCTTTAGGGAGCAGGCTTCTTGGTGTGTGCGGTGTGTTTTTCTCTTAAGCAAGGAAGTCGTATGGGCTTCTCAAATTGCATTATTTTGTTTGTGAGAAAAAAATTAGTGAAGTATATGCAGGCAGCATTGCTGTTTTTCTTTAAAATTCAGTTAAGAATGAGAGGGAGCCGGCACTGTGGTGCAGTGGGCTGGCTAAGCCTGCAGTGCAGACATCCCATATGGGCGCTGGTTTGAGTCCCAGCTGCTCCTCTTCCGATCCAGCTCCCTGCTAATGGCCTGGGAAAGCAGCAGAAGTTGGCCCAAGTGCTTGGGCCCCTGCACCCACCTGGGAGATCTGAAAGAATCTCCCGGTTCCTGGTTTTGGATCGGCCCAGCTCTGGCCTTTGTGGTCATTTGGGGAATGAATCAACAGATGGAAGACCTCTCTCTCTCTCTGTCTCTCCCTCTCTCTGTCAGTAGCTCTGCCTCTCAAACAAATATATAATTTCAAAAAAAAATTTTTTAAAAATGAGATAATAGTGTTCTTTTAATAGAAAAAAAAATCCATCTTCTTCCTGTAAGATGTGCCTGGGTACACAGCGCGCCGCAGATTCTGCCTCTGTCAAGTGCGCACACTGTGGCAACGTCGAGGCCCTCGACGCCCAGCAGCCAGGACATGAATCCTGCACGTAGCCCACCCGGCAGGGACCGCAGACTTAACCCAGACGGGGACTAGACGCGCCCTCAGTGAAGTGGGTTTGTTGGGATGATTTCTGGGTCCTTGCGCTCCCATTTTGCGATGGAGACTGGAACTTGGCATTGAGGGGAAGAGCAGAGTGTGTGTCCCAGCGACCTGCCAGCCTCGTCGGCCCGCTCAGACCCACTGTGAGCGTGCGCCGGCTCAGCTCATGGGAAGCCTCCCATTTTGCTGAACTAAACAGCTAGCGCAGGCCTCTGTGTCTCGCTGGCTGGTTGTTACCTTTCTTTGATGACACAGGGATTCACAGAAGGTGGTGTTTATTTATAGGAATAGTAGAGGGTGATCCAATTCAGGATCAGATTGCCAGGTGGGTAATCATGCTTTCAGCATTATTGCTTCAGTTGGCTTTTTATTCTAAAAGAAGGTTTTGGAGTAGAGGGGGAGGCAAAGAAGCAGAGAGCACCCATCTGCCGGTTTACTCCCCAGAGATCTGCACTAGCCGGGACTGGGCCAGCCTGAAGCCAAGAGCTGGAACTCCATCCGAATCTTCCACGTGGGTGGCAGGGACCCAACCACTTGGGCCATCACCTGCTCCCTCTCAGGGTGTGTAGCAACAGGAAGCTGGAATCAAGAGCAGAGTCGGGACCCAAACCTGCCCGTTCCCAGATGAGATGCCTCTGTCCCAACCAGCGGCCCAGCCACTAGGCCAACCCTGCCCCTAAGATGGGGCTCTCTTGGGTTACAGATCTCTGGGCTGTTGCCACACCCTTCTTCTCTGAGGCCGAAGGCATTCTCACCTGGGAAGGGAGTGGGACCAACAGATGCCACCTCCCCTGCTGCCTCTGTAGCCCCAGCGCCCTGGGCTGAGGTGGGACGACTTGGACTGTACAGGAGGCAGTAGGGCCCCACCGCAGGAGGCCCGGGGAGAGGTGCAAGTGTTGTCTGGAGACTTGGTCCGTGTGTCGTGCAGAATACAGAATACCCTGGACGGCCTGGGGAGGCCGGTGGAGCAGGCACAGCTGAGTGGTCTGCCGACCCCGCCCGTCCCTCCCTTGGCGCAAACCTGACTTGCACCTGTGGTCTCCTAAGAAGCCAGCGGAGCTTCCTGGAGAGCAGGAAACAGAACCTGCCCCGGCTGACCTAAGGGAGGCCTTGGCGGCCTTTGGTTTCGGCTTTGCTGTTTAGTGATGCTAAGCGCTCAGCTGCCAGGAGGGACAAAGGAGTGTGAGGAGCAGGAACAGGACTGTCCTGTTGGGTCTCCTGGCGCTGACTGCCTGATCCCTGTGTCATCCGACCATGGAGGTGCTGGCGCTGGAGGGCAGGAGTCGGGCTCCAGCAGCCCCCCAGAAACCCGTGGAGTGGAGGGAACGGCTTCCTCAGAGGAGGCGGGGCAGGCCAGGCTGCAGCCCACGGCTCCCAGCTCCCCGCCCTCGGGCTAGGCAGCACCAGCAGTAGCCGAGGCCGTCGTTTCCACTGCCTGTGCAGCCGGGAGCCCTACCCCTCCTCCACCCGCACCTCCGGAGCCCAGAGCCCCCTCAGGGTCTCCAAGGACGGCTTGTGCAGGGGTAAGGAAGGCTTGGAGTACACTGATTCTTAAAGTGTTATTATGGAATCTGATAGAAGTACGAACATGTGACAAGCATGTAAGTTACAAAGCACAGATAAACCCTGCGCGCCCCTGGCCGTGTGCTGCGCCCCGAGCCTGCCTCTCACCTGGGATCCTCACGGGTGCTCCGCCGCGGCGGGCGGCGTGTGCCGGGGTGAGAGGGGCCCCGGCTCGGATGTGTCTGGGAGCTGCGTCATCTTCATCGCTCTCTAACAGCCCGTGCTGTGCTGTGACTGCCCACACTCTCCTTGCCGAGGCCTGTCAGGTTGTTTCTAATTTTGCTTCTTAAATAATCTCAGCCTGAGCCTTCTTGTGCACGAGTCGCGGAGCCAGCGCAGACCCTGTGGTTGAGTGAGGGGCTGTTGGGAGCAGTAGGGCTGGTGGCTTTTCCCCCAGAGTTACCTGAGTCCTGGTGCCACCCTGGTGGAGAAGGGGGCCCTGAAATGTCCCCTGAGAAGTGACCTTGCCGTCCCACGTCCCACCGACCCTGCAGCGTCCTAACTCTGCTCTGCTCCTGTTGCCTGGGTGCAGAGGGGTTCCCTCAGGTTGTGCGCAGGACAGCATGCGTGGGGAGACAGCACAAAGCCATCGTCTTCCCAGATGATGGTAGCTTGGCTGGTCCTGTCTTGGTTCCTCGCTCCTCAGGAAATCCGTGCCAAGTAAGTGCAGGGCACCTAGGCCACACACGGACTGCACATGGAGCCCGCGGCTGTCCTGCTTCTGCACGGTATGAGGGAGGGGCAGAGAGCCGCCAAACTGACACCGGTATGCGTTTTCCTAAATGTGTTTGTTGAAGACACAGAGACAACACGCTCCCACCCACTGGCTCACTCACAGATGCCCTAATCCAGCAGGGCTGGGCTGGGGCTGAAGGAGCCAGGAGCTCCACGCCAGTGGCAGGAACCCAACTGCCAGAGCCAAGAATCGAACCAGGTACTCTGGCGTGGAACCGAGTGCACAGCCCCAAACAGCTTCTGTTTTAGACGACTGAGGTTGCCTTGGCCCATCTGAAGCTGCACGGCTGTGTGTGCTTGGCCTGGGCACGGGAGGTGAGAGGGAGGGCCAGCAGGCGTGGCGCCGGCTTCCCATGGACCAGCAGGTGCGCAGAGGAGCTGGGAGGAGGAGTGCTGGACTCCGAAACCGACAGCACAGTTACCGGCCCAACTTCTGGCGTCTTTGTGAGCCCCTGGCCCAACTCCTGTGAAATCCCAACTTCCAGCCTCTTACATAATCTTTAAATACATCGTGGCTCTCAGCTCTGGAAGCTGTCTTGGCGTTGTGCAAGTTAATAACTCATGATATAATAAATCCTGTTTCTGTTCTTTCAAGAGATGAGCTCAGTCAGCCAAAAATAAATCTAGCTATGTTGATATTTAGTTTTAGCTAATCTACCGCCTAACATCCCATTATTAATTTTCTTCAAACAGTCAAAATATTGTAAGAGCTTAACTGAGTCAGAGCCTGGGACAAGCTGCTGGCTCCTCTCAGCATCTAAAATATTAATCTACAATGTTTGATCCGCTAAGTATAAAAATGTAAGAAAAGTTTCAGCCATGATGCTTCTAATACACCTTCCTGTTTTATGAATTAACCTGCCTGTAGATGCGATTTGATTTTACAAAAGATAAAACGCATGCATTAGTCTTTGTGATTGCCTGTTTTAACTGACCTGCGTGTCGTTGATATGTTCAGGCGTCGCTGCGTCCTGCCGCATCTTCTTGCATTATTGCATCTGATGGGAGGCCGAGTTCTTGGAGGCAGGAAGGGCCATGCCACAGCTGCCCTGCTGACCGTCTGGGGCTCTGGTTCCCCTGCTGGGTCCGGTGTTTCTCGTGAGTAGGCCTAAGACTCGTCATAGCGTGTGGAAGAGGCACATTCCTGGCAGGCTCTGGGCTGGAGGCCGGGAGCCGCACCCCCATGGGGCCAGTTGAGTCTGGTTATCTGTGGAACATGTTCTGAGGATCAGAGTTCAAGTTCTGGTGAAGGCTGGCCTGAAAGCCCCAGCTCTGGGGGTCACACTGGTGTGTGGGCTGTGTTACTGGAACCCTTGACCTTGCTCCGTGAATCCTCACGAGCCCCAGGAGAGAGCGGCTGGTCTGGGCACAGTGTCTCAGGGCCTGCACTGGAGGGCGGGAGAGGGATGAGAGGCCAGCCAGCTGCTGCAGGTGTGAGGCGGGGAGGGCTGGAGAGGGCAGAGGGCCCTGCATGGGGGCAGGAGGGCAGTCAGGGCAGCCCCCGGAAGTTGAGACCTGAGGGAAGTGGGGCCCACTGGTGGTCAGCTTTTTTTTTTTTTTTTTTTTTTTTTTTTTTTTAAGATTCTTTTTTTTAATTTATTTATTTGAGGCAGAGTTACAGGGAGAGGGAGAGGCAGAGGCAGAGAGAGAGGTCTTCCATCCACTGGTCCACTCTCCAAATGGCCACAGCGGCCAGAGCTGGGCCAATCTGAAACCAGGAGCCAGGAGCTTCTTTTGGGTCTTCCAGGAGGGTGCAGGGGCCCAAGGACTTGGGCCATCTTCTACTGCTTTCCCAGGCCATAGCAGGGAGCTGGATCAGAAGTGGAGCCCATATGGCATATTGGCACTGCGGTGTAAGCCCACTACACCGCAGTGCCAGCCCCTGGTGGTCTGCTTTTTATTCTTGAGAGTTTTGGCCAGTGCTAGAACTTCACATGCAATCTCCACTCTGTGGGGGCATTGTTTCCCTCCACCAAGGTTGGCAATGGAAGTACCAGGAATAGCTCTCTAGTTTTCCTTTTTTTCCTTTTCCTTTCTGTTTTACTCGTGAGTATTTTAGAGTATGCATGTTCTTGGTCTCGTGGTTGGAACTGTGATCAGCTTTTGTATTTGTTCTTGCTTGGGGCTCTCTGGAGAGACTTTGATGTAGGTAACTGTCCATAGTGTGTCTGCCTGCCAGCATTTTCAAACATACAAGAAGAGAGATTGTTGATGCCCACAGAGATTCTAAAATGGACAAGTATTTACTGCCCTGGCTGGATCTGTCCATCCTCCCTCTGCCATTTAAAATACACACTTAGCTGTCTGCCTCTAGAAAAATACAGCACTTCTGTTTCATGGCTATGAGGCCATTATTAAATTCAACAAAATTACCAGTAATTCATTGGTATCATTTAAAATTTAGGGGCCTTTGTCATGGTGTAGCCAGTAAAAGCCACTGCCTGTGACACCGGCATCCCATGTGAGTGCCGGTTCATGTCCTAGATGCTGCACTTCGATTCCAGCTCCCTGCTAACAGCCTGGGAAAACACTGGAAGATGGCCCAAGTGGGAGACCTGGGTGGAGTTCCCGGCTCCCGCCTGGCCCAGCCCTGGCCATTGCAGCCATCTGGAGAGTGACCCAGTGGATGGAAGACCTCTGTCTCTGTTTCTTCCTCTCTCTCTGTAACTCTAGCAAATAAATAAATCTTTTTAAAAAAAATTTAGACTATGTTCAGATTGCTCGGATTTGCTTAAAAATGCCCCGTAGCCAGTTCACTTGAAGGAAGGTCCAGACGAAGTCCACACTTGACGGTCACTGCTAATCGTCCGAGCGTCCCCTCCTGTCCTCCCACCACTGGCTGCGTTGCGGAACCTGGGTTGGTCGTCCAGTAAGTCACCCGCTTCTCTTTACTTTTGCTTTTGACTTCTTTTACTTTAAACTCTATTTATTAACAAATTTCTAACCATGTCATTGCCATTGCAACAAACATTTTGGAAACAACTTTTTAAAAAATTTTTGATTTGAGACATTATTTTGAATATTCTTAATAATTGACTGTATTTCACCTTAAAGCAGTAGTTCTCAAACATTTTGGTCTTGGTACCTCCCCACACTCTTAAACATTTTTGAAAACCTGAAAGAGTTTTTGTTGCTGTGTGATATGCAAATAGCCATTAATATTTACCATATTAGAAGTTAAAACTGGGGACTGGTGTTCCGCCTGCGGTGCCAGCATCCCATATGGGTGCCAACTCTAGTCCTGGCTGCCCCTCTTCCAGGCCAGCTCTCTGCTGTGGCCCGGGAGTGCAGTGGAGGATGGCCCAAGTGCTTGGGCCCTGCACCCCATGGGAGACCAGGAGAAGCACCTGGCTCCTGGCTTCAGATCGGCGCAGCGTCTGCCATTATGGCCATTTGGGGAGTGAACCAACGGAAGGAAGACCTTTCTCTCTGTCTCTCTCTCTCTCTCACTGTCTGTAACTCTACTTGTCAAATAAAAAATCTAAAAAAAAAAAAAGTTAGAACTGAGAAATATCTAAGACATAAGAATACACGAGCCACTCAGCGTCGTGTTGATGTGACCTCGTGGTGTGCAGGCTCCAGAAGTTCCCACGTGAACTTGAGAGTTAGACTGAAACACACAAAGCAGTGGCTGCTGTTGGCCTAAAAACAACTTGATCTCACGGGCCCCTTGGAAGGGTCTCTGTCGCCTTCGTGTCCGGCGCACGGCTTGAGAACTGATGCCATAAAGGGGTCTGACTTGGAGCCACATTCAGTACGATTTTTGTGTGTGTCAAAAATGAAGAAGAACTATAAAGACCACGTTTTTCTTACAAAGTTTGTTAAATGGCATTTTTACCCAAAGAGTGTTTAACAGGGAATTCCAATAATATCCCACGGAGTGACAAAGATGTTAGAACGTGGGTTCAGATTTCCGAAGTGGTTGTTGCTGTCACATTGTAGAATTTAGTGCCTTCAGAAATAGCGGGACAGCGAAGTGACTTTCTGAGTCCTCATATCTGGGGAGGTCATTCTCAGATCGCTGCTGGGTGTGGCTTAGCGTGGTGGGGGAGTCAGCTGCTTCACCCCTCGCACCGGGCTTTCCCACCTTCACACTGCCTTCCGTCTTGGCCCGGCTGATTCTTCGTTGTGTGGGGCGGTCCTGTTGGTGGTCAGAAGTGTGGCAGAATCTCGCTCTGGCTCTGGCTCTGGGTCTCTCGCTTGCGCGCATGCACTCTCTCTCTCTCTCTCTCCCTCTCTCTCTCAGATTTATTTGAGAGGTAGAGCTATCGAGAGATAGAGAGAGACAGAGAATGGTCTTCGGGGCCAGCACTGTGGAGTAGCGGGTAACATTGCCACCTGCGGTGCCAGCACCCCATATGGGCACCGGTTCTAGTCCTGGCTGCTCCACTTCTGATCCAGCTCTCTGCTATGGCCTGGGAAAGCAGTGGAAGATGGCCCAAATGCTTGAGTCCCTGCACCCACGTGGGAGACCCGGAGGAAGCTCCTGACTCCTGGCTTTGGGTTGGCACAGCTCCAGCTGTAGTGGCCAATTGGGGAGTGAACCAGTGGATGGACAGCCTCTCTTTCTCTCTCTATTTCTCTCTCTCTCTCTTTCTCTCTCTCTTTCTCTCTTTCTCTACCTTTCCTTCTCTGTGTAACTCTGACTTTCAAATAAATAAATAAAATCTAAAAAGAAAAGAGATTGGTCTTCAATCCACTGGTTCACCCCCTAAATGGCCACAACGGCCAGAGCTGGGCTAATCCAAAGCCAGGAGCTTCTTCTGGGTCTCCCACATGGGTGCAGGGACCCAAGAGCCCAGGCCATCCTCTGCTGCTTTCGCAGGCCATTAGCAAGGAGCTGGATTGGAAGTGGAGCAGCCAGGACTCGAACCAGTACCCATATGGGATGCAGGTGCCACAGGCGGAGGCTTAGCCTATTGCACCCCAGCCCCGAGGCAGAATCTCTTCACCCCAGTTGCTGGTAGCCTGCCCTTTCCCTGTAAAGCTCTAACAGTTAGCACTAGCCACAGCTGAATGAATGTCCTTTGCTGGACAAACAAGCAAAAAGAAGTTAAGAACCACTACCCCCAAACCAAGCAGTTCCTTCCTAGGAGTAGATCTAAGGAAAACTTTGTCCCATGGTGAAAGTGATAAAATTATCCAATTTTCAGACTCCATTTTTTTTTTTTTTTTTTTTTTTACAGGCAGAGTGGACAGTGAGAGAGAGAGAGAGAAAGGTCTTCCTTTGCCATTGGTTCACCCTCCAATGGCCGCCGCGGCTGGCGTGCTGCGGCTGGCGCACCACGCTGATCCGATGGCAGGAGCCAGGTACTTCTCCTGGTCTCCCATGGGGTGCAGGGCCCAAGCACTTGGGCCATCCTCCACTGCACTCCCTGGCCACAGCAAAGAGCTGGCCTGGAAGAGGGGCAACCGGGACAGAATCCGGCGCCCCAACCGGGACTAGAACCCAGTGTGCCGGCGCCGCTAGGTGGAGGATTAGCCTAGTGAGCCACGGCGCCGGCCAGACTCCATTTTTTTTTTTTTAAGGGAAAAGGTTTATTGATGTGGAAATCTGACAGGCCGGATGGAAAGGGTGAAGAATAAAAAAGAGGGGGGTCGAGAGAGAGATCGCACGTGTGTGGGAAGCAGGTCCCGCTCCATGTGTGGGAGCAGTGAATCCCATTAGGGTCGGGCTGGAGCTGACGTCTGTGGGTGGGCCATTTGGTCAGCTGACTTCTAGCAGTAGCTACGGGACCAAAGCTAGGATGGTGTGCAGGGCGTCGACTGTGCCACAGCTAATACCTACCCCTGTGCCCTTTTACTAGCACCCTCCCCTTTATTCCTGGGTTGAGGAGAAGCTCTTGACTCTTTCATTTATGTGCCCTTTGCAGCCTTGGACAGAAAACAACTCATTTTCCTTCACCACCTTTGAGGACAGATTCTCCATATCCCAACCTCCTTTGTCTCTTTTAGCAGTTTCTGTATTAAAGTCTGTCTGTCTGATACTAGGATGGCTACCCCAGCTCTTTTGGTCTCTGTTAGCATGGTGTTGTGGGGCACAGCAAGCAAAAGGCCACCAAAGCGATTAAGTTAAATGAGGAGTCTTTGTTAGCCAGCTGGCGGCTGCCCTGCTCCCAGAACAAGTCCGTAGGAGACAGCCCCGAGTTTCAGTTGTGGGGCGTTTTTAAAGGCAAAAACCATATTTTGGTGGTCTTGGCTGTTAGCAAGCAAGCAGAAGTACAGAAGCCAGAAATATGCCTGTTCCAGCCGGATGAGCAGACCGATATCCATAACTTGTTTCTCTCAAAGGAACAGTCCTTCTCTGAAGCAAGCAGTCGGGATAACCTGTAGGCACCCGGGCTTGCTGTGTCCTGTGGGAACAATGGAGCATCCTTCCAGCCTTTCACTTTGAGTCTGCGTGCATCTCTGTTGGTGAGATGTGTTTCTTGTAGGCAGCAGATAGGTGGTTTTGTGTTTCAATCCCTTCAGCCATTCCATGACTTTTAACTGAGTTGAGGCTATTTACATGTCACAAAGTGACTACTGGTAAGTAACGCCCTGGCCCTGCCATTTTTCCATACATAGTCCTATTTTTTACTTTCGATTTCCTTTGTACTTTTCCTGGGAGATTTTCTTCCTTTACCTTCTTCCATAGCGATGACCATGTTTCCGTGTTTCCGTGTGCAGCACATCCTTAAGCATCTTGTGCAAGGCTGGATGGGTGGTGACAAATCCTCTCAATTTCTGTTTGTCGTGGAAGGTCTTTATTTCGCCTGCATTCATAAATGAGAGCTTGGCAGGTACAGCATTCTGGGTTGACAGTTTTTTTCTCTTAAGGCTTGGAGTGTATCTCTCCATTCTCTCCTAGTCTGTAGGGTTTCTGATGAGAAGTCAGCTGTGAGTCTAATTGGAAATTCTTTGAAAGTCATCTGGCATTTCTCTCGTGCACACCTTAGAATCTACTCTTCATGTTTTACTGTGGAGAGTTTGACTACAGTGTGTTGTGGTGAAGATCTTTTCTGGTCATGTCGATTAGGAGTTCTGTGTGCTTCCTGTACTTGGATGTCCCTTTTTTTCTCCAAATTAGGGAAATTTTCTGTTGTTAGTTTTCTAATTTCCTCTTCTTGTTTTTTTTGTCTATTTATTTTTTAAAGATTTTATTTATTTATTTGAGAGGTAGAGTTACAGAGAGAGAGAGAGAGAGAGAAAGGTCTTCCTTCCGTCGGTTCACTCTCTAGATGGCCGCAACGGCCAGAGCTACGCTGATCTGAAGCCAGGAGCCAGGAGCTTCTTCCCGGTCTCCCACACAGGTGCAGGGGCCCAAGGACTTGGCCCATCCTCTACTGCTTTCCCAGGCCATAGCAGAGAGCAGGATTGGAAGAGGAGCAGCCAGGACTAGAACTAGCACCCATATGGGATGCCGGCGCTGCAGGCAGAGGATTAACCTACTGCGCCATGGTGCCGGCCCCTGTCTGACTATATAATTTCCTGTGATTTGTCTTCTAAGTCAGATATTCTTTCTTCTGCTTCACCAATTCTGTTGTCAAGGCTTTCCACTGCATTTAGAATTCTATTGAATTCTTCATTTCCAAGATTTCATTTTGCTTTAAGATCTCAATTTCATGGGAGAAATTTTCTTTCATGTCATGTACAGATTTCATTAGTTTGTGCATTTGCTTCTGATTACTTCTATGTAATCTTTTTTTCAAAAAAGATTTATTTTTTATTTATTTGAAATCAGAGTTACAGAGAGAGGTAGAGACAGAGAGAGAGGTCTTCCATCCACTGGTTCACTCCCCAGATGACCACAATGGCTGGAGCTGCACTGATCTGAAACGGGAGCCAGGAGCTTCTTCCAGGTCTCCCACGTGGGTGCAGGGCCCAAGCATTTGGGCCATCTTCTACTGCTATCCCAGGCCACAGCAGAGAGCTGGATTGGAAGAGGAGCAGCCGGGACTAGAACCGGCGCCCTTATGGGATGCGGTGCTTCAGGCCAGGGCTTTAACCCACTGTGCCACAGCGCCACCCCACTTCTATGTAATCTTATCAATTTTTTGAATTCCATTTCGTGCATTTCTTCAGACTCTTCATCTTCACAGTCCAGTACTGAGGTGTTGTGTTCTTTTGGGGGCATCATGTTTCTTGCTTCTTGAATTGGTGCATTTATTATTTGGCGTCTGTGGAGATATTGGTTGGCTTCTTGTTGTTTTCTATAAGGCAGGTGTTGTATGAGGTTGCATTGGCCTCGAAAGGCCAGGCGGGGTGGAGGAGCGATGGTCTATCTTCTATAGCTGCAGGGGCGACAGGCCTCGGGCCTCTGGCGTGGCGCAGTGTCTCCAGCTGTTTCCTAGGTGGGGAGCCCAGTACACCCCTGGAGCAGCGTTTGGTCGACCGCCTGGTTGGTGAAGGCTTTGGTGCGTCCCGTTCTCACCTCCTAGAACACTTAAACACACAAGGTCGTATAAAAGCCAGGGTGAGAATAGCAGCCAGTGGTCCTAGGAGTGGCATTAACCAAGTGATGAGAGGAGTTCTTTCAGAGAAGAAATGAGGAGGGTCTTTGGACCCTTGTGAAGATTGTTAGATGGGTGTGGTTAACATAATAACAACACTGGTAAGGCGCATCTGTCCCATAGTGCCACACCTGTTAGTGAGCTGATTCGGCTTTGGGGACCTCGGATGGCATCAGCTGAGGTCTAATGAGGATGGGCCTAATGACCTCCACTTGTAGCTGTCGGGGTTGTTTTGAGTCGGTTGGTCAAGATAATGTGGCCCAAAGCTGTTCCTGAGATCACTACTGAGGAGAGGGAGGCTGCGAAGCTGATCCCAACCAAGACGGGAGAAAGGCCACTCGTCTCTTGTGGGCAGAGGGGTTTGTCTGCAGGAAAATTCTGAACAGTCATACAACGTTAAGTGGGGGAGAGGACCATCAATCCACACGGGTCGGGAGTAGAGCCATTGGTGTAAGTAAGAGTAGAGGCTATGATTACAAAGGATTGAGACCCCAAGTGGGCCAGACAGAGTCTAGAACAAAGGACAGAGCCATTATTGGAGGACCTAAGAAAACCATGAGGAAGTGTTTTGATTGAGAGGCAAATGGAGACTGACAGAAGAGGCTTGATGATGATCAGGTGGGCTTGAAGGCCTTGTCAGTCATGAGGCCCAGAGCTGTCTGTCTCTTCACAAAGGCACCCTGTTGACTTGCATTACCTGGCTGGCCTGGGAGGAGAGCTGGCCAGGTGAAGGCAGGTGTCATCTCTAACAGGAAATGTACAGTTCTGCAGTGTCACTGACCCTGCTTGGCCGTCCCCTCAGCAGCCATGGTCACTTTTTAAGCTGGGCCGAGTGAAGGGCTTCTCAGACCTGAAACCCTTCGCCTCCAGGGCAGGTCCATCTCCAGGGACCCAGCTCTTGGCTGGCAGAGCGGCCAGGGCTCTTCACAGGCTGACCTCTGCTGAAGCCCTGGTTTTCCACATCGAAAACCAGTGCAGTGGACTGGCCCGTTGGGTCTCCTTGAGGGCAGATCACTGCAAAGCAGCGTTAACTGGCTGCCACCCGTCTTCACGTTGCTGCCGCTGCCTCGCTTCCTCTTCCTCCCGGTTTTGTTACAGCAGACCAGAGGGTGCAAGTCAGGGGGTGTTCATCAGACTCAGTGTTAAGATGACCAAAGAACAATAGGTTCAAATGAAATTTAATGAAGAGAATGGAAGAAAGGCTGAAAAACAAGAGAGTGACAATGATAAAAGTAGAAAGAGCCAGAGAAAGAGTGAGTGAAATGAAACACAGCCAAAGAGAAAACAGTGCAAGTATGATTGGAGTCCAGGGAAGAAAAAGCCAAAGTAATAGAAGAGAAATAGTATGTAAAACCAATCTAAGAGAAGTTTCTAGAAATTGCAGAAGGTCTGAATCTATACATTGGAAGGACCTACTGGGTAATTGGCATTATTAACCAGAAATAATCAAATCTACAATATATCCTGGTAATACAGTTATACTTAAAAGATAAGATAAAGAAAAAACACTTCAGTCTTCCAAACTAAAAAAAAAAAAAAATCAATTAACTTAAGTGCAAAGAATCAGACTGCTCAAAAAGATACAGATACAGATGCAGATATATAGATATAGATACAGATATAGATACAGGTATAGATATAGATATAGATACAGGTATAGATATAGATACAGGTATAGATATAGATATAGATACAGGTATAGATATAGATACAGGTATAGATATAGATACAGGTATAGGTATAGATACAGGTATAGATATAGATACAGGTATAGATATAGATACAGATACAGGTATAGGTATAGATATAGATACAGGTATAGATATAGATACAGGTATAGATATAGATACAGATACAGGTATAGGTATAGATATAGATACAGGTATAGATATAGATACAGGTATAGATATAGATACAGGTATAGATATAGATACAGGTATAGATATAGATACAGGTATAGATATAGATACAGGTATAGGTATAGATATAGATACAGGTATAGATATAGATACAGGTATAGATATAGATACAGATACAGGTATAGGTATAGATATAGATACAGGTATAGATATAGATACAGGTATAGATATAGATACAGGTATAGATATAGATATAGATACAGGTATAGATATAGATACAGGTATAGATATGGATACAGGTATATATATAGATATGGATACAGGTATAGATATAGATATGGATACAGGTATAGATATAGATACAGGTATAGATATAGATATGCCAGGCAGTGATGGAGCAGCATCTGCAGACAGGTGTGAGTTACGGATCTATGATACTCCTCATGTGTGGGTATCTCAGGTATGCGGGCCAGCGGAAGACCGTGTTGACAGGGAGTTCTGTGCCTGTGGGCCGTCTTAGGGAAGAGCTTCCCCCAGCCCAGCGGTGGGTGAGAAAGCCTGAGCAGCAAGGCTGGGGGTGAGCGCGTCGTGCAGGAACTGCAGGTGCGGGGGGGGCTCCAAAACACAGGGGGCCTTTCTTCTTGTTCCAAAGACGGACAGACATACAGAGTCCTGTCCTCTGATTCACTCCCCAGCTGTCCACAAGGACTGACTGAGCTGGACTGGAGCTGGGAGCCAGGAATGCAGGCCAGGCCTTCCGTGAGAGTGGCAGCCATGGCCATCGCTCCCAGGGTCTGCATTAGCAGGAAGCTGGGGTCAGGACCCAGAGCTGGGTGTAGAGCCGGGGCGCTCCAGTATGGGGCGCAGGCATCTCACCCAGTGTCTGGACTGCTAGGCCAAACGCCCACCCTGCATTGTCGTTTAATTCTACTTTCCACACACTTTGTGAAATCCGTGTATAGTTTTTGAAGACCGCTTGCATGCATGGATTTCAAATGTCTTTGTAACACAATCGACTTACCTTAAATTCCATTTTCCATGAATTACTGAAGTCCCCACATATATGAGAATAAGGATACCAATAAATACTGAGCAACAAGATGCTAAAATGGCCCATGAGAAAATGAGAGTCTTAGAGCATTACAAAGGTAAGTATGAAAACAAAATATCAACCTAAAAAAATAAGTAAGCAAAGAAAATATCACTTAGAGAAACTCTGCAAATACAACACACACAGTAAGACTGGGTTGTCAAATTGAGACCACACGTACCAGTCTTGTCAAAAAATATTATTCACAATGGAGCCTCACTGCCTTCCGCACCTTTATCATGAAGTGATTTCCAGGGTACGTTGTTGGAACAAAGAAGCGAACTGCAAGAGTAACTCACCCGGCTCCCCTTTCTTGGTGAGAGAGAAGCTAGGAAGCATCCAGTGGTTGCCCACGTGTAGGGGGAAAGGTGAACTTGAAGACATCACTTCTAGGTGGGTCGATAGGAGGGCAGGTCCCAGGTGTGCAGGGGGTGGGCCGGCCAGGTGTGCGCTGGGGGCGACCCTGAGCGTATTGGTGTGGAGTTCTGACTCAGGTGTTTCACGTACTCAGAAAGGAGGATAAACCAGTAAGAACCGAGCTGTTCTTGTGTACTGTGCCCACAGCTTGGGAGGAGGCAGGGAGGGAGAGCTCACCCTAGCCATCGAACCTGGCCTTGGGACTCCAGACCCACAGGCTCAGGAGTGATAACTGAGCGAATAGTAGACTTTCATTACTTGGCTGGTTTTTCACAGTGGTTTGGGTTGGTAATTCTGGAACTCCTTTATAGGAATCTGGGATTGAACAAACATGGGAAGAGTAGGAACTGAGTTTCTTCCTTTGGAAGGGGGAGGTACAGCTGCAGGACAGGAGAAGGACAAATCAGCCCTTGGTGTTGACCGCAGTCGGAGGTGTCAGCCTGAGCGACCTGTTGGTAATGTTTGTAGGTGGACCTGGAAGTAGCCCGGCCGTGCAGTCGTGTGCACAGGTGTCTGGCCGCTGTCTGCCGATACACACTCACAGCAGTGAGACCCCAGGGGCAGTGGACACATGAGTCACCCACGTGGCAGTCTGAGTGTCCTTCTCCTGACAGACTCCCTGGAGAAGCAGCACATTCTAGAACTGCTGGTGAGCCAGGAGCGTCAGGCCGTGCCGGGAAGTGAGGGCGGTGCTCAGAGGGGGGCCCAGCCGGGGTACCCTGGTCACACCCGGGCCGTGGAGCACCAAAATAAATAGTGCAGTGATGGTAGCAGATTGCAGCCCTCAGAGTCCAGTAACAATGCACTAGTTCACCCTAATGTCAGTAAGTCGATGAATCAAGAATTGGGCACGGTAGGAGGACTGTAAGTATATTGTATATTTCTCTTTTTTAAAAAAGATTTATTTATTTGAAAGGCAGAGTTAGAGAGGCAGAGGGCTTCCATCCACTTGCAGGGGCCCAAGGATTTGGGCCGTCTTCTGCTGTGGCCCCAGACCTCCACTCACCATCAGGGCCCAGCCCTGCACTTCCTGTTACCTGCTGAGCGCACCTGGCCCTGCCCTCTTGTTTTGTGTCCGGTCTGTTTGAACGTGGGTACCGTGTCCCTGGCGACTCTCTGGGGGCTTCCAGGTTGCAGCCCCGTGAGCCCCACCCCTAGAGGCGATGGCCATGTCAGGGAAACAGACACACCCAAGGCTCTGATCCGCAGTAGGAAAGCTTAACCAAATGCCTGTCAGTCAGTTTTGTGACAGCTGAAGAAAAACAAAACATTTTGAGCTAAATAGTTTTTATGAGTATTTTCTGAAAAAAACATGTGAAGTCAAATTGAGGGGTTTTTCTTCTCACAAATAATTTAAAGGAATAGTTTATCCTTTTAAAATAAAAACAAGAAATGCTGCTTACTAGTTGTATGTTGTTTCTTTTCTTTTTTGTTTGAAAGGCAGTTAGAGAGAGAGAGAGAGAGGCAGAGAGAGAGAGAGATCTTCCATCTGCTGGTTCACTCCCCCAAATAGCTGCAACAGCCAGGGTTGGGCCAGGCTGGAGCCAGGAGCTTCATCCAGGTCTCCCATGTGGGACAGGGGCCCAAGGACTTTCCAAGGGCATAGCAGAGAGCTCGACTGGAAATGGAGCAGCCGGGACTCAAACCGGTGCCCTTGTGAGATGCCAGCACCGCAGGCGGCAGCTTTACTCGCAATGCCAGAACACCAGCCCCTGTTGTTTCTTCTAGCTTCTTAAGTTATTAGTGCCACACAGTCACTCCCAGAAGCCATGGTACACTTGACCCGTTGAATGAATGTATTCTAGGATTTAATGGTAATGGGGTGGGCACCAGTTGGGCTGCCGACACCCCCTCACGGTGCCTGGGTTCATTACCCAGCTCCAGCTTCCTGCTGTTGCGTTCCCAGGGAGGCAGCAGGAGATGACTCGATTGGTTGAGTCCCTGCCACCCACATGGGAGACCCCGACTGAGTTCCTGGCCCTTGGCCTGCTCTGGCCCCGCCCCAGCCATTGCAGGCATTTAGGGGTGAGCCAGGAGAGGAGACCTCTGTCTGCCCCACCCCCTTCATTAACTAGTTAACTAAAAGTTTAAAATAAACTAATGATGGCTTAGTTAGGTGCCTAGATTGCTCCCCTGCTCCAGCATGCTAATGTCAGTAATTAGCAGTCTCTTCCATTTCCAGTGATAGCCTTTTAACTCAGAAATTAAGACCTCCAGGGAGCTGGGAAACACGTTCCACCAGCCCCGTCTGTATCCTGTTAGATGTCCCAGTAGGTATTAGATGGCATTTATAACAGCGCAGGGACCTGTTGGAGAAGATGGGTCCAGCTCCAAAGGAGTTAATTTGAATTTTGCTGATAAATATTTTGAATGTTGGGGCCGACGCTGTGACGCAGCGGGTTAAAGCCACCGCCTACAGTGCCGGCATCCTATATGGGCACCGATACTAGTCCCAGCTGCTCCACTTCCGATCCAGCTCTCTGCTATGGCCTGGGAAAGCAGTAGAAGATGGCCCAAGTCCTTGGGCCCTGCACCCACGTGGAGGCCCTGAAGAAGCTCCTGGCTTCCGATCCGTGCAGCTCCAGCCATTGCGGCCATCTGGCGAGTGAACCAGCGGATGGAGGACCTCTCTCTGTCTGTACCTCTCTCTGTAACTCTTTTAAATAAATAAATCTTTAAAAATAAACAAATATTGTGAATGCATAATATGAATGTAATGTCTTAGAGAAACAAATGGCGCTTGCCTATGGGGGTTAAACTTTGTATTTTCAAAGTTTGAAAAAGTGTGTTGAGCTAATGAACGCAGTACCACCACTATCTTAACTTTTTTTTTTTTTTTCAAGACTATCTGATTCCGTTTTGTTCAGTGACGAGTGTGAGGCCTGTTTTCAGGCTACACCACTCGCCTTACATCGGCCTCCACTTGGACACCTTTCTGTTTCTTCCTTATCCTCCTTGTGGTAGCAAATGCTTCCTGATCAGATACGTGTGAAAGAGGCCCCCGCTGGAATCCCAGTGGTGGCGGCCCCAGCCACTGTCCCCACTCCTCCTGCCGCGCTGTCCTGCCCGCTTCTGTCGCCTGCTGTCTGACCCCTTGCCCGGCCTCCTCCTTGGTCTCCTGGTCTCCCTGTTGATAGACACTCTGCTCGCTGTCCGCCTCCCACATGAGAGTGGTCACCCCGAAGACACCAGTCTGCTGCTCTGCTGGCTCCCTGTTGCCCGTAGGACAAAGGCCCCTCCTCAGGGCAGCTCACTTGGTCTTTATCGCTCGGCCTTGGTTAGCTTTCCCACCTCATCCCCTCCCCGCCTCGGTATCTCAGCACTCCGCAGTGTTTCCCAGGGGAGGCACGGCTGGCATTTTGGATGGACACTTTGTAGCACGGAACTGGCCAGTGCATGGCAGCAGGCTCCAGCTACCCATCTGGTTTTTGGGGTTTTTTTGTTTGTTTAGAAATTTTTTTTATTTATTTGAGAGGTAGAGTTACAGACAGTGAGAGGGAGAGAGAGAGAGAAAGGTCTTCCATCTGTTGGTTCACTCCCCAAATGGCCACAATGGCTGGAGCTGCGCCAATCCGAAGCCAGGAGCCAGGAGCTTCTTCTGGTCTCCCACACGGGTGCAGGGCCCAAGGACTTGACCCATCTTCTACTAGCCGGCACTAGAACCAGCGCACATATGGGCTGCCGGTACCGTAGGCAGAGGATTAACCTACCGCGCCACCGCGCCGGCCCCTCCAGCTGCCCACTTGCGACAGTCAGCAGTACCTCCTGGTTTCCAGAGGCTGCTTGGGAACCACAGAGTCCACGAACACCTGGTACCTGGTACCCACTCGCGTGGTGCTTGGTGCGTGGTGTTCTCTGCCTCTGGCAGCCATCTCCGTCTGCTGCCTTTTCTAGCAAAACTGCTGTACATTCTTTTCTTTAAAAAAATCATTTTATTTGAAAGGCAGAGTCCGAGATCTTCTGTCGCTGGTTCTCTCCCCAAATGCCTGCCACAGCCAGGGCTGGACCAGGCAGAAGCCAAGAGCCAGGAACTCAATCTGGGGCTCCCCTATTGCTGGCAGGAACCCAACTACTTGAGCCATCACTTGCTGCCTCTCAGGAAGCTGCAGTCAGAAGCAGAGCCAGAACTTGAACCCAGACACTCAGAGGAGGCCCAGTGGCTACCCTTGCTGCTGTTACATGCTCTGAGGTTGAGAGAGAGAGACAGGGAGAAAGGTCTCCCTTTTGCTGTTGGTTCACCCTCCAATGGCCGCCGCGGCCGGCGCGCTACAGCCAGCGCACCGCGCTGATCTAATGGCAGGAGCCAGGTACTTATCCTGGTCTCCCATGGGGTGCAGGGCCCAAGGACTTCGGCCATCCTCCACTGCACTCCCTGGCCACAGCAGAGAGCTGGCCTGGAAGAGGAGCAACTGGGACAGAATCCGGTGCCCCGACCGGGACTGGAACCTGGTGTGCCGGCACCGCTAGGCGGAAGATTAGCCTATTGAGCCGCGGCGCCGGCTCAGATTGGGTTCTAACATCATTCAAAATACCTACCCGTGCTCCCCCAGACAGAGTCAGCTCCACCTCCGTCCATGTCCCTTGAGCCTTGAGCCCTGCACGCCTGTGTTGAAGGAGTGTGCTGTGTACCGAGGTGCCCTGCGCGGCTCCTCCATGGATTCCTTTGCTTTACGGTGCCTTTTGACACTGCCTGTGCCACTATGCACTGCTGTGCACAAAGCCGTCGTGAGAACCTATAGGGGAAGACCTGGGGTCCGGCCAGCGGCCCGTTAACATCTGTTTCATTGCACTTCTTTACATAGCATTGCATGGCCCTAGGTACCAGGCACAGCAAGCTTCACAAAGAGGAAGGGTTCTCTTGGGACTTCATAATGTCCACAGGACAAAGAGGCGACGTTAAGTCATGGTGGTTGGGCTCCTCACAGAACAACGGTGTTGATCAATAGACTCTTTGGATCCCATGCAACTTGTCTCAAAGTTTGTATTTGACCAAATGGAGCCATTTCTCTCAAGAGCCAGTGCAGTCGATAATTGCAGCGAGCCGCTGTCACTGGCCTGACGCGTCGTCTTTGTTCCGCAGAGTTACAGCGCGGGGGCCGCTGTCACTGGCCTGACGCGTCGTCTTTGTTCCGCAGAGTTACAGCGCGGGGGCCGCGCTGCTGCTTTCTGTGGACAGTCGGCGTCCTCGATTTACACAGCAGTGGGATCCCATTAGCCCAGATATACATCGTGTGGACCACGCGCGCGAAAAATTAAGACTTCCAGAGCTGCATTAAATCTTCAGCTGATTTCAAAAGCAGTTTGTCTTGGTATTTTACTTTATTCCTTAATCCCAGTCTACACAGTTGATTTTTCCTGCAGTTAACTTTTCATTGTGTCTGTGCACTGAGATAAAACCATCACTCCAGTTTAATAAAAGCAGCGTGCATAATCCATTTCTCTTGGCAATTGAATTGAAAGATGAGTGTGAGTTTACACTGGTATGCACTGATATTATTAATTATATCAATTTATTAAATTTTAATTAAAATTAATTTAGCTAATTGTGCCATCCGTAGTTATGGGAATAGTCATCCTTCTCATCACCATCATAATTAACCCAACTGTAAGCAGACAGTAATGAGGATGCAGGCTCTGGGGAGCCAGGCAGCGTGGATTCAGATTCTTGGGTGGCCGCTGCTGCCCGCGTGACCTTGAGTCGCCGCTTCCTCTCTGCCTCATTGCCTCCCTGAGATGGGACGGCAGCCGTCCCTCGTGAGCCCATGCGGACGGCAGGCCTGTGGCTGCCGACTCGGGCGTGCCGGCGGCCGGGGAGGGCAGTGGGGGTGGGCCGCAGCAGACGCTTGTTGAAGATCCGACTGCTCTAACACTTGTTGCGCTTGGTCACCGTGTCGACCGCTGATCCTAAGGGCTGGGAGAATTGCAGACCTCCTTTGTTTCTGTTCAGAAATCCTTTGTACGCCATGTGGGCCCCTGACCACACTGAGGGGGGAACACCTGTGTTCTTCCCCGTTCTTGAGTTTCGTTCTCCGGTTGCGTCGTGACGGTTCCTGTGGACCCCGCTCACCCCTCAGCACGTCTGTGTTTCTGTATTTCTGTCCATCAGAGGCGTGGGCGGCTCACCAGGATTCTGGAGCCGTGGCTTTGCTAGGTTTTGCCCACGTTGTAGTCCCTGATGACACCCAAGTGTCACCCTCATCCAGGTCCCCAGGCTTCAGCCTCAGACCCCTCAGCCTGCTGGTGTCGTCACTTGACCTCCGCACCTGCCGCTCGGGCGTTCTTGCCGTTGCCCACGCCGGAATTCTTGGAGGTGCCCTGGCCTCTTGTTGCTCTCATACTTCCCAGTCAGTCCACCAGCAGGTTCCAGCGTTCTTCTGCTAGAGAGGTGTCTGGAATCCATGTGCTTCTCATCACCCCCAGCTCAGGTGCAGCAGGATCCCCCGAGGCTGCCCGGGAGACTCCACTGCGCTGAGGGAGGCCTCTCCCTGATCCAGCCCTTCCCTGTGTCCCCAGACTCTGCTTCCTGGCTGTGTCCCCAGTGCCAAAGGCAGGGCCTGGCACCGCTGAGTGCCCAGTGGGTGTTCAGCAAGCGAGGGAAGGTGCCGGTCTGCAGGGTGACCTCTCCCCAACCCTCC